TATTAATAAAAGCCTCGGCATCTAGGGCCATTGGCTACTACAAATTTATGGGTTTACAAAGGAAGGTAATTGCTTAATATTAATATACAAATTATTTTACAGAAGGTTAATTAAATTAGAATTGATTATAAATGATATCGTGTTTTGAATGTTGGCTGGCTGGAGGGCTTCGGCGAGAATGAGGGGTACTCCTGCTTCCTGTTTTTCTCTGTCAAATTGGCGGCATTCTGTGATGATATGTTTGATTGTGAGCTGGGTGCCGCAGCTTGTGCAGATAGGGGGGTCTTCCCTCTTCATCAGGTGTTGGTGAGTCAACGATGAGTGCCCAATTCGCATTCTGTTGATTGCCGTTTCTGTTTTCCTAGATATGTTCGGTGGAGAGGGCCATGCTAGAGTAGTGTTTTTGATTTCGTTCAGTTTTGTAGAACCTAGTCTCCAAGCCCGAAGCCATATGTTGCTTGTGATTGTTTTAGATAAAGATTTGGCGTCGTGTAGAGTAAAGCCATTAAGTTTTATAGCGTCAGGGGATGTTATTGCTTGGCGAGCATTTTCGTCGGCTCTCTCGTTTCCCGTGATTTGGCTGTGACTGGGGATCCATATCAAGATGATGGAGTATCCGGAATTAGTGAGGTTATGCAGTTGGTTCTGAATTTTTCTGGCGATTTCATTCGGTGTGAAGGGATTTTCGATGCTCCTTAGCGAACTTAGCGAGTCACTTAGAATAGCTGCTTTGAGTATGCGTTTTGTTATGATGAGGTCTAGGGCAAAAGAAATTGCTGTTGCCTCCGCTGTGTATATTGAACAGAAGTTGGGGAGTCTTAGCATTGACACGTGGTCTTTAAATACTACTGCAGCACCAACTCCATTATCCGTTTTGGAGCCGTCGGTGTATATTTCAGTGTAGTCGCAGAGGTCGGAAATGATAGATTGTAAGTGTTGTTTGAAGATTATGGGTGGGGTATCATTTTTAGCGAGTTCGCTAAGTTCACTGTTTACATAGTTGTTGAATAGCCAAGGGGCCATCAGAGAGATTTCGTTTTTAATAACGTCTGAGTGAGGGAAATGGGTATCTTCTAGGGAGTCCGTGGTTTGTTTCGATACTTTGAGATTGTTTTGGGTACGTCTAGTTGCAAGTAACATGGTGTTGTGTACCCTCCTGATATCTAGTGGCGCGACTCCGGCTATGTTGAGGACGCTGGGAATTGGGCTGGAGCGATAAGCTCCGGTGACTAATCTTAAGCCCGTGTTGTGTACAACGTCTATCATTTTAAGTGCTGATGTCTTAGCTTTTATGAACAGAAAAGAATTGTATTCAAGCTTGGATAAGATGAGTGCTTTGTATATTTGTAATAGGCTGGAAGAATGGCTTCCCCATGATTTGTGGGCGAAGCATTTCAGTGTATTTATTCTTATAAGCGACTCCTTTCGGATAGCTTTGAGATGTGGTATCCATGTATTTTTTGAGTCAAACAGTATACCTAATATTTTTATGGACTTTTTTATGGGGATGGGTATGTTGTTCATTGTTATAGTGGTGGTGCCAGTATTTCTTTTATTGGTGAAAAAGGTGCACTGGGATTTTTCAACTGAAAAGGAGAAGCCTGATACGAGTGTCCAGTCTTGCAGTGCTGTTAGAGTGTCCTGCAAGTATGTTATGGTTGTCTTGGGACTGATGCTTCTACAGAAAATGTTGAAGTCATCAGCGAACAATGTGCATTTTACGGGGGGTGCTATAGCTTGAGGTATATCATTGATTGCTAAAAGAAATAAAGATACCGAAAGGGTGGACCCTTGGGGTACGCCGTTATGTTGTGTATATATTTTAGACGGTTTGTCGTTGCACCTAACCTGAAAGGTTCTGTCGGTTAGGAAATTCATTATGAAATTGAATAATTTGTCAATAGATATGATATTTGACAGGATTTTTAATATGCGAGGACGCCATGCAGTATCGTAAGCTTTGGATATGTCGAGGGCTATGAGGCCCATCACTTGTTTCGTTTCGAGAGTAGAATGTATTTCCGCTTGTATATCATGTAGTGTGTTGCTTGTACTTCTATGTCTTCGAAAGCCGTTCTGGCGAGTGTCGAGCAAATTGTTTTTTTCAAGAAACCATCTAAGTCTGGAGTCGATGATTTTTTCCAATATCTTGACCATGGTATTGAGGAGTGATATTGGTCTATATGATTTGGTTTCGAATTTGTTTTTGTTTGGTTTAAGTATCGGAATGACTATGGAGTGTTTCCATTTTTTAGGTATTACTCCGGATGACCATATTTTGTTGAATACCATGACGATTGACTCCAGGGCGGAAGTGGATAGGTTATGGATGAAGCAATACGGTATTCCATCTGGTCCAGGAGCGAGACTAGTGCATTTTGATGTAGCTCTGACCATTTCAGCTAATTGGATCGGGGAGTTAAGTTTTGTCTGCTCATCTAGATTGGTGTTAATGCAGGATGTATGGTGTTGGTTTCTCATGTGAATGTTGTTATTAAGAAACGATGCATTGTAGTTTTCGTCCGAGCTATTGTGATAGAAGAGTTCACCAAAGAGATTGGGTATTTCGTCGGGGTCAGTACATAATTCTGTGTCTTTCATGATCTGTATGCGATGATTCTTGGAGTGACCACGGATTGCCCTTACTCTGCGCCAAATTAGGGAAGGGTCCGCCTTGGGCCCCAGACCAGAAGTGAACAATTTAAAAGATTTGGCCTTGCCGCTTTTAACAAGGTATCGGGTTTTAGCTCTGTCTATATTTTTGTTATTAAATTAAAACTAAAATACCTAACCAAAAAAGTTTAAAACAATTTATTAGAATTAAATTAAATTACATTTTTTTATTATTGTTGCATATTGTGACAGCAATAGAAGTAACACACATTGAGTAAAAAATTAAATGATTAATACAGTAACCAACATTCAGAAATGTTGAATAATACTGAAAAATATACATATATATACATATATATATATATATATATATATAAACATAAGGTTTTAGCAGTTAAAAATTCTGATGATAAAAGACATTTATCAATTTTGAAATACTTGTAATGTTCAACAAATTGTTTTAAGTGAATTGAATCCGGATTAAAAAATTCAGAACTAGAACCATTAAAAACATCTGTCACCATTAATATATTGCATACATCATTTGAAAATCTTGTAATTAATTCAACTGTAAATCTGAAATTAATTAATTAAGATATTATTTGTTTTATTATTAAAAAGGAATGATTATCCATACATATTTTAACTAACCTGTCAATTGCTTCAAAATAAATATTTGTTTTTAAGTCTTGTAAAGGAGTAAATTTTGAAATGTTTTTGTCCACAGTTGATGAAATAAAATAATCTTTAAGATTCTTGTTAAGAACTTGCTTCCTTTTCAGGATTTTTGCTAATGTCTACTTCTATATCATTTTCTGTAGCTTTAGCTACAATTTTTTTTCAAGTTTTTCCCAAACTCCATTTGAATGCATATTCAACAAATTTTGTTTGGTTATATTTATTAGGTGAATAGCAGAAGGAAGTAAAAGTTTACTATTTCGTAATTCATTTAATGCACAGTGAACTTATTCTAGAACAGATTCTATAGAAATTGGCATTGATATAAATCTCTTGGATGATATTTCTTCAAGATATCCTATTGCCATGACTCTAGATTTTTTATCACCATTTGATGATGTACATTGAGAACTTCACAAATTTCTTTAAAGTGAATATTGATTTTCTTTAATGATTTGTACCAATAGGCACACCGAGTTTCTACTAACCTTTTTAAATGAATTATTCCTAGGTTTTTGTACTTCAACATATAATTCATAGCGATTTTGACTATTTATAATAAACTTGTAAATACCTTGTACTGTTTGGAAAAATTCACTTATAGCAGAAACACTATTTAATGTATGCACTAAACAGATATTCAAATGATGTGCATAAAAATGAATATATATTGCTTGTGGAACAATTGATTATATTCTTGTTTGAACACCAGTGAAGCAACCGCTCATGACACTGGAACCTCATAACACTGAGCTACACATTTATTAATATCCAATTTATTTTCACATACAATTTTTATTATTTCATCTGATAAACATTGGGTAGTTGATTTTCATATGAAAACATCCTAGTGCAAGCTCATAAACATCAAAATCGTTATCAACAAAACTTAATTGTTCTTTTTTTGTAGCATCTTTTGTTTTGTCGTCAACGAGAATAGCAAAAGCTCCCAATAATGAGATTTTGTTCAAAATATTTTGTTTAGTACATTCAGCTAGTACTTTAATTAAATAATTCTGGTAACTGGGACTTGTATAATGTCCATATCTTAAACGTAGTCGAACTAGAAGTTTATCATCAGCAAATGTTTCTAATAATTCTATGTAATTATGTAGCTCTGTTGTTTGATCTAATCATCTCACTGTGACCGCAAAAAGCTAACACCTGTTTAACTAAAAATAGTGCAGATTTTAACAAAAAATGAACATTCAATCGATTCTCATAAATATCCTGTTGCCTGGATTTATTCAGACTACAAGCAATTGATTGTTGTACATTTTGTCGAATATTACGATAATCGACCCAACGAGTCATGTTTCTTATTTCTAAAATGGCAATTTAAATTTTGTTTTGGTTCTTTCCAGCAATTTAAACGGTAATTAACAAATGGTATTTTCCCGATAATGGTTCCTGGGTTGTTCATAAGAGGTGAGAAATGACGACAAGAAAAACAATAAAATAAATCCTCAATGATAGAATATTCAATCCAACAATATGTATACCACACAGCAGAAAACCTCCTACCATTAGTTAATGGAAGACATTGAGTACTTATTGCACCGGAATAACATTCATATAAGTTAATATATCAATTGGACTTTTGGACACACAGTTTGAATTAATTGGAACATTATCTGAGTCACATTAAGATACCTAACAAAAAAACATAGTTAGTATACTTATTTTAGTACCTAATACCTAAATAAGATACTTATTTACACAAAAATATAAAACGACAATATAAATTATAATGTTACAAACATATTTCAATATTTAACAAGAGATATCTTACTTTGCGTTCGAAGTTCAGTCGGGCAGCAACAAAGGCATTGTTGGCTACACTAAGAATAATGTCTTTTACTTGACTACTACAATGAATATTAAGTTCATGCTTTCGGCAGTATTCATGGTCAAATAAACTACCACCGGCTAAACAATGTGCCTTAGTACGTTTATGCATACGATTATTACAGTTCATAATATAATATATCAAGTAGATTAATTATAATCCGTTGAATAATTTCGAATAGTTACAGAAATACTGAATACCACTCGGGCGCCTTGATCGAAGATTAAAACGATTAACCAAAATGGAAAATATGAGACATAATTATTTACAACATAATACTATGTATGTTTTATTTAATGAATAGGTCTTATCTGATACTCTTATGTGAGTATCTATTGAAATAGTTCGTAAATTTAACTATTTTGACTTGGAAATTCTAAAAATATAATAATCCTTCTTTGTCAGTAAAGTTGTTTATATTCAGAAGTAGTCGTAAATCTAATTATAACCTTTAATTTGGAGGCTAACATTAGCACCTAATTAATTAAGATAACACTGTATTGATTAAGAATTACAGTATAATTGTTATTATATAGTATATATATAATATATACAATCGTAGAGCAACAATTGTATGAACAAACACTGATAAAAACAAAGGTATAATCACAGTAAATGCAACAGGTTATTCATAAATGGATACTTTTTTAACCATCAAGACTAAATAACTTCAACTTGGAATGGCGACTGGCAAAATAGCCTTGCACCCACCAAGTTCACTTGAGTTGTTGTCACAGATGACTGACAAAATAGCACTTGCATCAGAAAATCAGTAAAAATTGAAAAAGTTGTGAAAGAAATACTTCTAGGTTCAACCCACACATGTTGAATATTCGATACACGATGGATGCATTCTTT